TACGGTTCTTCTTGACTTGCTGTTTAAGAGTATTTTGTATAGTTTACACATCCTTGTGAATTTTCTAAATCTATTAAGTTTTCTTATTGATTTCTACTTTTATTCTGTTGTTCCTAGAAATATATTATTTCCATATTTTGTTACTTGTTTAAACTTGTTTTGTGACCTAACATATGGTCTTTCTTGAAGAAGGTATCAAGAGAGAACAATATATATTCTACTATTGTTGAGTATGTTTTGATATGCCTTTTGGGTCCAGTGGTTAACAGTGTTGTTCAAATCTTTGGTTTCTTTATTGATTTTCTATTCTAGCTGCTCTGTCCATTATTGAAAGTGGGTAGTTGAAGTGTCCAACTGTTATTTTTTAACTATTTCTATCTTTAACTCTGTCAAATTATAGTTCACATATTTGGGGGGTCTGTTGGATGAGAGTATGTTTATAATTGTTATATCTTCTTGATAGCCTGACCCTTTTATCAATATCTAATGTAATTCTTTGCCTCATATATTAATTTTTATTTAAGGTCTGTTTTTTCATCTGATGATAGGATAGAATCTTCATATCTCTTTTAGTTCCTATTTTGTTTACTAAAAAAAGTAACTCAGACTCGATTTCTCCTACTATACACTCACCCTACATATTCATAACACTTACCACTTCTCATAACAAATGCTGCAGTTTGACTATAGTTTGTTCCCCCAGAATTTCTGTGTTGGAATAATAAATCACTTGTCAGCTATAAAATGATTTCTTGTATGACAAGTCATTTTTCTCCTGAATTATCTTTTTCTTTGGCTTTCAACAGATTGAGTCTAATGTGTCTTGGTGTAGATCTCCTTGTGTTTATTCTCCCTGAAGTTTTTGAGCTCCTGGGTGTATATATTAACTTTTGGGGCTTAATTGGTGGTCTTTGACTATTATTTCTTTTTGTTGTTGTTGTTCTGATCAGTTATACATGACAGCAGAATGCTCTTTTATTATGCACAAAAGTAGGGTCACACCATTTGTGTGATCATACATGTACCTAGGGTAATGATGCCCGTCTTATTCCACCATCTTTCCTATCCCCATGCCCCCTTCCTACTCCTCCCTCCCCTTTGGCCAATCCAAAGTTCCTCCATTCATCCCATGCTCCCCACTGCCCCATTATGGATTAGCATCCACTTATCAGAGAAAACATTCGGCCTTCACTTTTTTGGAATTGGCTTAGTTCACTTAGCATGATATTCTCTAACTCCATTCATTTACCTGCAAATGCCATAATTTTTTATTCTCTCTTATTACTGAATAATATTCCATTGTGTATATATACCACAGTTTCTTTATCCATTCATCTATTGAAGGGCATCTAGGTTGGTTCCACAGTTTGGCTGTTATGAATTGAATGCTGTAAATATTGATGTGGCTGCATCACTGTAGTATGCTGTTTTTAAGTCCTTTGGGTATAGACCAAGGAGTGGATAGCTGGATCAAATGGTGATTCTATTAGTAGTTTTCTGAGGCATCTCCATACTGCTTTCCAGATTGGTTGCACCAATTTGCAGTCCCACCAGTAGTATATGAGTGTACCTTTCCCCCCACATCCTCACCAACACTTATTGTTGCTTGTATTCTTTTTTTATGTATATCCTTTGTGTATTTTACCACATTTCATCTTTAAAACAAATTTTGTACAATATGTCAACATATCTCTGAGTCACTGAACAGTGGTTTAAAAAAACAAAACAACGAAAAAAAGCTAAGTATATACCTAAGTTGTAAGACTTAGTTTCCTGCCATTATCATCTGACCAATGGGGGAAAAACACCTGAATTACAATAACCCATCTCAACAAAATTTTCCAATTCAAATGAGAAGGGCTTCAATTTACAAATATCTTTTGAAAGGGCAATATTAATGCAATTCACATCAGAACATCCAGTGAACACAATTTACAACAAGCCACAATTTTGCTATATGGTAGAACTTTCTACTGGTTTTTCAGTTCCTTCAGCCTTCTGGTTGCAGACTTGACTGTGACAGCAGAAGTGGTGTTGTAGGTCCAAGCACCACCAACCACTATTTTTATGCAGAAACCACAGTGCCAGATCCCCACAACCCATCTCTTCATCTTGGTTTTGCCACAGAAGGAACTTGGCATGCCGGCTGATTTCAATTTTCTTCACTATTTTCCGGAGGGAGGCACTGTAGCGGGTCCCATATTTACCAACGATTCCGAATTTCTTAGTGTGTTTAGCCATGTTGCCACGACTTAGGTCCGAGACCGAAGAGCTGTTGCTTGTATTCTTGATGACTGGGAGGAGATGAAATCTTAGAGTAGTTTTGATTTGCATTTCTCTAATCACTAGAGATGTTGAATACTTTTTCATATATTTGTTGATTGCATGTATATCTT